GAGGTTAAGGTCCTAAAAAAAATCACTCAAAACTTTTCAATATCTTAAAAACAGTGAAATGAGCAATAAATAACATAAAAGAATACAAAAAATTCTGAAAAGGAAAGTATAATTAATGATATTTTATCTTATATTTTCAAGAGAAAAAAATTACAATGAAATAAGCTATATCCCTTAATACAAATATTAATTATCCTAATAAAAAATTAACCAACTTTCCGTTGAAGAAAAAAAAAATCATGCAAAACTTTTCAATATCTTACAAACAGTGAAATAAGCAAAAGATAACATGAAAGCAACTCAAAAAACATAAAATTCCGCTCAGAATTTTACTCTGCAAAACAACTTTATGAAAAAAAATCAATAAAAATGTATTATATATATATAAAAATGACAATGAAATATGCCAATCTCTTAAAAAATATTACATAAGGAATACGATCAAAAATTGTTGCCAAACACATATTTCTAAAAGAATCAAACCATTCAAAATGATGCGATTTCATCAAAAATCTATCAACAACAATAAGACAGAAAAACTGTTGCCAAAATCACATTTTTAAAGATGTGAGAAGTGAACTCGGAAGCTTCATTTAAAATTTTTTTTAAAAATACAAATTATTAACATCTTTCCAAAATTCTTTTTGTAAAAGCAGTCGCAAGGATGAAAGTTTAACGTGTCCAAAAATCAAAGAAAAATAAACTTGTTTAGAAAAAATTTCGTTGAAAAGGTGTTAAGCTTCCTTTGTTAAATAAATTCGTATTGAATCGATTTATTGAAACACGAAATTTATTTTAAGTTCGCAAAATAGCTAAGTGCCTACGTTTCATGACGATGTGAAAATTGGGGTGTGTAGAGTAAAATCTCGCTTTCCTATAGCCCACCATGTCTCAAAACGACACGATTTCATCACAAAACATAAAATAAAAAATAAAAAAATCTAATTCGAATTTCGAAAAAATCGCTTCGAGGTGCACTGGTTCTTGTCTAGATGCACCTATGTACTAAATTTCGTAGCCGTGGGTCTATTAGATTACGCGCAGCACGAATGAAAGACACACACACACAGACAGACACTTTCTTTTATTATATGTAGAGATTATAAGACTTACAAATAATGACCATTTATTAGGAGTTCTCACGTGCTGTAAAAATTAATTTTATTACATCTTATTAATGACTGTGATAAATGGGATTGTAATATTTAACAAAAATAAGTGCAACAGTGAGACAGAGATCTGAAAGTTTTTAAAGTGTATGGAATTCAAGAATTATAGTTTTATAGAGTTGGATGATGCGGATGTAATGTCCCATTATGTAGCGATAATTCTCCCCATATTTATGTTAATGTTGTAATAATATATGTTTAAAATATAACCCTTTAAAATATCCCTTGCTTCACAAACGGGGAATGCGAAAAGAAACTACAAAACAACGCAAGCGACGATTACAGAAAGAAAAACATAAACGCCAAAGAAAAGCCAAAAAAAGTTTGCAAGTGAAACAAAAGAAGAAAAGCGCCAACGCTTAGATAAACGAAATCAAAGATTACGGAATGCGTCAAGAGTATAAATAGTATAACTACTATTATTATTAAGGAATATTAAATGAAGAACTGAACTGCTCTTAACTCACAGGAAAGATTCCTTACAGCAATGAAGCATTACAAGAGATGGATAGAATGAGAAATTATAGACCACCATCAGCTTCATACATTAGAAACGAAAAAATGATAACAATGTTAATAAAAAGAAACTAAAATAAAATTTTTCTTTGTTGACTTAAGTAGGAATTGACTTTCATTTCTTTTTATATTACTTGTTTTTAATTATACTTTATGTATGTTTATGCGTCGTTCATACGTCAGTGTGGCACATTTTGTTTCCTATTTTCGCAGTTCATAAGTTGATTTTCTTTACTGCTAATGAACACAGTGTTTTCTTCGGTACTACTTTGGTAGACGGTTGCACGGATTTTTGGCGATTTACGTTGGCGCAATTGTTGGCGCGGTTTTTACAATCGTCAGCCATCTTGCAAAACGCTGTGTTTACGCATAGTAAAGTAATCGAAACTTAAAAGAAAAAAATAAATAAATATCTTTAAAAGTAATGGATTAATTTTTTGTTGAAAATGTCTTTTTTTTTTAAGATGGCAGGCAAGCGTAAATAAATACATTTACTATGAATATAAAATACTAAAGTAAGGTTATTATTACTTTCATATAGCAAAGAATAGAATAAAAACACCGCTATAAAAACATTGTGCCAACGTTTAATTCGATTAAAATATTACTTAAATTGAATATCGAATTAAAAACATTATACGAAAATTTAAAAGAATTAAAATATTGCTAAATTCAAATACTTTAAAATACGTTATATAGATTATAATTAACATTAAAACATATGTGACAATAATTATCTCAGCAATTTTTGAAAATAGTGTATTAATTTTTTAACAAAATTTTAAGTATACAATTATAAAGTAAAAGAAAAATATGTACTTACCATTTGTTGAGTCATTTAACTGTCGTTTATTGATAAGTACCACAAAAAAATCGGAATCATAATTTAGATATCAATGAAAAAAAATGTGAAAAATGTAATATCAAGGGCAGGAATAAAAAAAAATAAGAAAAACAAAAGAAAAATGTAAATAGACAAAGCAATTTAGAGCCAAATTAATGGATCATAAAGATTAAAAAATAACGAAAATTTGAACAAAAAAAAAAAAAAAAAAAACCCTCCAATAATAGGTATGGTTTTCTAAGATTTCCAAGATCCTTTAATCACCCCTCCCTGAAGTACATACGGACAATCATCACAGTTTATGTCTATACGAATAATTCTTCGAGAAATTTAACCGATAACGACATTCATCTTTGAAGGAATTCGAAGATATGAATTAAATTTTAAAATGGCGCGGTAATGCACAAATTTCAGTAACCAATCGGGAGCTGATTACAGCTCGTTAATGCACAAATATTCTATAACCAATCAGAGAGCTGATTACATCACACCTAGAATTAAAATTATTTAAATAATCATACATAAGAAAACCATTTTTCAAAAAAATAATGCACAATTAAATTGTATTTTAATATTTAACAGCCATAAATAATGTTTAAAACATTAGATTAAATTTATAGATATTAAAACTAATTACTTTTAAAGTGAGGTGACGTCATTGATTACATCATCCACAACATAAAATTTCATAAAATATCATAAACAATAAAATTTTTATTTCAAGTATAAATGCAAAATTAAATTGATTTTTAATATTGCCATAAATAATATTTAAAACATGGAATTCAAGCATAATAAAACGCATTATTTTTTAAATAAAATGACAACAAATCATCGGTTACCATAAATAACTTATCCAGAAATGGGTTTACCATAAGTCGTACTACTCGCCAAAAGAAAAATCGCCAAAATCCGTGCAACCGTCTACCAAAGTACCACCTTTTCTTCCGTGGGAGGTTTAATTGAACCCAAAATTAAGAAAAAGGAATTTCAAAACAAAGGATCTGCAGAAAAAGCATTTTGCTTGAAATTTTTATTCAAATAACGTGTCAAGTTTTCAGAAAATGCAGTTCCTCATAAATTAGTTTCCTTCTCCAATATAATGAAAATAATTCATTTTGCCTCTAAATGAGAAACATGAAATACAATTTCAGCCGCAAATTAAAAGAAAAAGGAACTATAAATAAAATGCTGATGTTTGACATTTCATAACTTACTTCATGTTTTATTCCATGTTTACAAAACTGATTTCTGAAATGACATAGATGAAATATTGATAAAATATAAAATGCATTAGAATTGTTTTTATAAATCTGTGACTGCAACTTTTTACATTAGTTAAAATACATGTTTTTAAACTTATTCAAATACATGTTTAATTATCTAAGACTTCATAATAATCAGAAAAATCAGTATCGGAGCAAAACGTCAATACGCAAACAGAGAAGCGAAAAAAAGAAGAAAGCGATGTTCTCAAAACTTAGCAATGTTATAGAACGAATTATCACTAGTTGTGTTTCATAAAATAGAACGAAATTTTATGAAACTCAACTAGCATTAAAAGTATGAATGGAATGCATCTGAATTAAAAAATTGCTTAGACCGAATTATTGGCAGCATGGCTTAAGTGTATTACTCATATCACAGATGAATATCAAAGCGCATAGTGCATCTAAACATTTCTTTTCTCATAAGATAAGGCTTTATCTTTAGAATGCAGATGCAATGAAACTGTAACGTAACAAGCAAAAATATTATTGTTCACCGTTATGGTTTTGCAGATTTTGATTACTACGTAAAATCTGTAAAATCATAACGGTAGTAATGGTGAACTACAGCATTACGGTAAGTAACGATAGTGTAGCTTTACATATGTTTTACAGACGTGTGAATTTTGCTCGCTTGTTTTCGATTGTTTACTACACATATAAAATTTGTCATTGATAATACATATATGCAGACAAAATTCAGTTACATAAGACACTTTATACAAATTTATAAATGAAAATTATTTAAGCGAAATACAAATGATTAGATGTTTCAAGTGAAGTTATAAATAATGCTATAAACATTTATGCATAAATATGAACTATACTCATTGCTTTGGAATGATCATCATCAAATAATTTAAATAAAATTAAATATACTGAACAAACACTTAATAAATAAATTTATGAAGTTTATACAGCTATGAGAAAATACCACATTCGATTAAATGAGCAATAATGTTAAGTTCAGCCTTGTGGAATTATTTGTCCAAAAGTGTTCGTTACAGACATTTCAGCATCCTCTGCAAAGTACACTGGAATGCTTCTTCAAGCTCATTCAAAATCCAGTTTACAAACCTGGACATAACAAGTAAGGTGACTAACCAATTAGGTCATGCTCCATCAGTTATGACAATGCAGCTTGAAGATTTCAGTCAGGAAAAAAATCTCTTAACTGAAGTTCTCATGTTATCAAAATTGTGACTAAACTATAACGCACCTTGGTTCAGATCGTGGAACATCAACTTTCGCTTCGGTTACTTTCGGCAAACTGGACTTTCTTCGGACCGCCAAATTAATATTTCCCAAAGAACTGAGCCTCCGACTCAGTCTTCTGGATTGCTGAGGCGCAGGAGGAGGTTGTTCAAGCTCTCGCGCATGTTCCAACAGCTCGATAAATAGTCGAGCAACATTAACGTTGTATTTGGCGCTGGTCTCCAGGTATTTGCAAACTTTAGATTGATCTTTGAGAGCATCTTGAACCATTTGAGGTGTCACCTGGCGCTCTTCTTCTAAATCGGTCTTGTTGCCAACAAGAATAACAGGTACTCTGCTACCTGTAAAGAAAAAAAAATGGCTGCACTTTAATTTAACTTCAGAGTAATTCGTGTAACATGATTGCAACTACAGTGGAACTATGTATCATGAATAAATGCATTCACTATCAAATTATCTGAGCAAAAATCTTCTCGAATGATGAACCATATCCCAGTTTACAATCACTTAAGTCTTATTTTCGGAATGATTGTCGGAAACGATTCTCGAAGGTGTATTGAGGTAAGCGCTAATACAGAATCAACATTCGAGGACGTTTAGAAACATCATTTCAATATTTTACATTGCTCAACTCTCATTAACAAAGCTTAAAAGAAAGTCAGTTATGAAACTATGAATTCCAAGAGGCAATTATGGTCTGTATGCAAAACCATGGAAAGGGAGGATGAATATATGAATGTAGCTCTTTGATCCGAAAATTCGGCGAAAAGTGGGGTAAACTGCAACGTTTCGTGTGATGGTATCACCTGATAATGCATTATTAAGCCACAGAATAGCATTTTCAATGTAATGTCATGTCTCATTTTAGAAACATTTTAAAACACAGGCCACAAAAAATCAGACTGGACAAATTTGAGAGAAAAAAGCTCCAACTAGTCTCAAACAAAATCGAAGAAAGAAAGACTAAGAGATAAAGAAAAAATAAAAACGCTGCCCCAGAAAGACAGTTACGGGATATTTTTATACAAGAAAGGATTTCTAATCTAAACCACAGCATATTTTTTCATCACATCCTATTTTACACTGACCCCTATTCTTCGTTTGGGTACGGTAGAAGTAAGTTACATTTTCGTCTTTGTTATACATCTAAAATTGTGTTTTCCTTTATTGCCTTAGAATTACTAATTTTCAGTAATTTTGTGTTATGAACTTGTATGCAAAGTGCTACTATAAATTTTAAATTAGCAATCACCTGTGGAAGGAAAACAAAATCTCATGTGCACACCACATGTCTTCCTTGTACGGCCTATTAAATTATGCACATTTTCTGCTGCATTTAATTTAAACTTATTTCTCCGAACTTCATCGGAGATATGTTCCTTACTTAATCAACCCAGTTCTCACTTCGCGACAAGAAAACGTACATAACAAATAAAAACATCTTCATTCAAAATTGTAAAATACAAAAAAACCTAAAACATAAATAGAGTTAAGAACCGTTAGAAAATAATTTTTACAATTAAAATTAGAACTTAAATTAATTAACATTAGGCAGAAAGAGAGATTTTTCGGTGCACAAACCTTTCTGTCCCACTCGGCAAAAAGTTTGGTTGCAGAAACTGACATCATTATGCTACGAAGTTTCGAAAGTAAACAAATGGCGGCGTTGTTAGGCTTAGTGGAACTTAAGTGTAAAACCCTTAACCGGAACATAAGAACAACATAATTCAATCACGTTTAAAGCAAAAAATGAACAATTTGCCAACATATAAGAATAAAAAACCTTAGCTGACCCAGCCGGGTAACAGAGTGGGTTATACGTTTGGTGCGTCCGATTGCAACCAGGTACACATCTACATTTTATAACAGTCCCATATACAAAACTTTAACGTTCTGAGGCTACTCAGACTATGCGTGATACATACATACATACATAGGTACGTATGTACAGATGTCACGAAAAAAGTCTCTTCTGTATCCATTTTAAATCCATTTCACAATCCATTTTGGGAAAATGAGTGCTTTATTCTGTCCATACTTACATATGTAGCTCAAAAACATCATTCAAATGGAATCGAGATATGTCAAAATGGATATTTTCGTTGAAATACGCGTAAGTCGTATTCTTGAATGATTAGAAACGTATGCCAAACACGTATAAATAATTTCATGAACACGTTATGTTAAAATATCCAAAAATACGCATTTTTATCCTTCAGTAATAAGAACATAAGGGAAACTACTACGTTTTAATATTTTCATCACCAGAAGAAACAGAGAATATTTATGTAATTCATTTCTTTTGATTTTAAATTATGGGAATTTAAAATGTTTACTCACGATTCATAATTTCAGCTGAAAGTATTAGTATATGAAAGAATTCATAGAAGTATTTCTTTCTCTCCAGGATATCTAATAATTTAAAGAGATTGGGAAAACACAATAAAGTGGTCACAGACATTACAAAGAATAAATGTTTTGAGAGCTGAAATGACTGAATAACATCTATTAATTTCTTTTTATTATACTCAGAAAGCGGTGGAAAAGAACAAAAATATTTGAAATAATTTGATTCAAAAGAAAACTTATTATTATAGTTATTACTATGTTTAAGAAACCATTATGTTTTGCAGTAGCAATTATTATTCAAAACAATTTTTGACACAAACAAACCAACTTTCTAAAATTTCTAAGCCTGAAGGATTAGTTTAATGGAATTGAATTTTAATGTTACTTCGTATAGAAACTTCTAGAATATTCCGGTGAAATTTTTTTTAACCAAGCTGTAAATACATAAAATTTTCCTCCTAGTAACCAAGTTATAACTATATCAAATTTTATTGACCTATCACAAAGCAAGAATTATATCTCTGTATATGTTACCATAAAAGATTCTATAACTAACGACAGCATAAAACTTCTAACGAAATAAGAAAATTTATATCTTATTCCCGAAACAGTTTATTGTAGTCAAGAGATAATGCCACTTGTAGGAAAACAGAAGAAGAGCTATCTAGATTTTTCCCGTTTCTTTGATTTTTGTTCATACTTCCCACCACATTCCAAGATATGTCTGAAATGTTTCCGATTTTAGTCCAACACCAGCAGCTCCTAAACGTTTTAGCTCACGAAGCCCTTTTTAGAATCAGTTTCTGCGACGGATACCTCTGAGTCTACTTTAGGTTTTATAAGATAATAGTGTGTAGTAGTGTTATAAGGATGAAGATGGGATAAATAGATAAAGACATGCCTAAAAAACAGCCTAATTCCAAGCAATGTATTTTTTTTTAAACTTTGAAATGTACAATAATATCTCGGTCTATTCTCAATTATCACTTAATATCCATGTCTTGACAAAATTGTGCCATCCAGACAGTGGCGTTGCTAGGGTGGGGCAAAGGGGGACATCTGTCCCCGGGTGGTGCCAAATTGATGCTACGAAATTTTTAATGAAATGTTTTATTCTAGGAAAAAGAAGGGGCCTCAAACACTCAGTTGTACCCGGGGACTGAATCCTAATAAGCAATGTAGCCAGAAAGGTGTGAAGTTACAAAATAACACCGTAGTACAAAACATAGAGTTAAGGGAGAGCAATACAAAAAATATGATGATAGTACCGCCTATTAGCCGGATAATAAATATACGATTTTGATCATTTTATTAACGTATTTCACGAATTACAGACGATTTATATTAAATAATTCGTTCCATTAAAGGGAAGGAAAAATACATAAAACTCAAACCTAACGGATCTTATTAAAAATGGAAAACATAGGAAATAAAACACAATAAGTTGACAATTTAAAAAACACTTTTTGCAATTAAAATTAGAGTTTACGCAAAAAGCAACCAGCGTGCAAGAGGCAGATTTTGGGTGACAAAAAAACTGAAGTGTAGACGACTTCTTCCCTATTCTGCTAAGTTTCAAATGTAAACAAATATGGCTGCTATGGTAACGATTTTTAAATTGTTGGCAGTTCTACAACTATTGCATGCAGATTAACTACAGGTATGAAAACAAGAAGATAAGAACAACATAAAGAAAAAAAGGCGATGTTTACGAACATCTAAGAATAAAAAAAACTGAGCTCACGGAGCCGAGTAACAGAGAAGGCGTATATAAATATATAATTTTGGTGCAACCGATTGCAAACAAAAAAGGAGGTGCACAACTATATGTTACAGCAGTTATATACACACACATACATACGTCCTACGTTCGTACAGAGGATACGAAAAAAAAATATCTATTGAATACATTTTAATTCCATTTTGCTACCCGTTTTAGGAAAAAGTCTTTTATTCTGTCCTTACTTACAGATGTCACGCAAAACTATCGTTAAATTGCATTCGATAGCAGTCAAAATGGATATTTTGGTTGAAATATGGTATCCAAAAATTTTCGTGATTACAATACTTCTTTTATTTCGTTATTTTGTACAAGAAAGCAAAAAGATCCCTACAATAAACACAGTATATTTACGTTACAAAAAAAGTAGAATAATTCTTCACTTTTAGGCTGTCATACAAACATCTGCTTGATATGAATTTGAAGATTTATTCATTGCAAAAATTTAATGAATTACTACAATCATAAAAAAACGAAGAGGCTTAGAAATGCAGAACATTGAATAGTGAATAATTAAAAATTAAATTTTTACATTTATAATAAATATAACAAAATTATTACTAATAGACACTTTGATAATCTACTTGACTGAAGTTCTGGCGTATATTACATAAGTGCACAAGAACAAGTTAATTTTGTTAATTGGTGGCAAAATTAACCCGACTCAACTTTTACCTAGCATAGAAAGAGGCACCCCACAACAGTGGACAAGATATTCTACAGTTTGGTAAGTTACAGTTATAACCTAGCAGTGAATTCAAGAATTCACTAATTATCTTACATTGTGTAAAAAATTTGATCAAAACAAAGCTATGAAGCTGTGGGAAGTCAGAAAGTGAATGAAAACGAGCAAGCATACATAAAACAAACATTCAAATTATTTGATAACTTTAGAATTTATTATTCTTGTAAGTAAGTATGAGTAAGACAGTTAACAAGAAACTGAACTCTCCCGGGAGATGGTAATACAGAATTAATTAGTACTCCAAGAATTTTATCTAAGATTTCAGACAACATTGTAAGGATCCTAAGTTTTACTAACGTTTATT